TGGATCTGTTATTTATTTATTTATTTGGCTCGGGGATATGAATTGTGTAACACCAGTGCGTTCTGCTTCCTCCAGCTTTTGTCTACAGTTTTCCTATTACTCAGTCTGCACTCGAGCCCTTTATCACCAGAGAGGCGAGCTTCCCGAGTACATCAGCTGCACCACGGCACACTCAGCCCTGACGCAACCCCCTCAGCGCTCCTATTTAGACCCCCACCTAAACTGTTCTGAAACTCTATCCAAAATAACACATTCTTTCAATAAGAAGACATGGTTAAGCTGATGTATATGTATGCACACACATGTTTATGCCCCTCTCCAAACTAAATTATTTCATTGTCCCGACACTTGAGCTAATAAATCAGGCCATTTGGGAGAGCAGCGGGAGAGCAGGGAGTAACACCAGAAGAGGGGGAAGAGAGGAAGGAAAAGAAAAAGAAGAATAAGAGGGGAGGTTGTCCTACAGTTTCACTGAAATGTGCCATGAAGTCACTCTTCGACAAACGACAGCAATTAATCAGAGCTACTGAATACAATCCACTCAACTAATCACGATTAACCTAATGGATGAATCACAAGGAAAGAGGCCTGCATGCTAACTGCAGCCCAGTCGCTGCATCACCCACAACTACATCAGACAAAAAGTGAAACAGAAAATAAAAGAGAGCTAAGTAAGGAGAGGCGGAGAAGAAATTAGATATTGTACAGCCCCGTTGTTATGATGTCAAGTTGGAGAATTTCAGGCTGATTATATGAAATTGCAAGTTAAAGGGCACATCCAAATCAATTTGGTGCGGCAGTGAATGTGAACTATGCACAATTAGAGGGTTTTTTATTGGTTGGTGGAATGGTTGTGACTTCACCAAGAGCATCTGACCTGCTGGCTGCTTCCTTAATGTAAGATCTAACTGTTCATTAGGGTCAGCTCGGCTCTAAAGACGTACAGGATGACAGTTAGGGGCCAGGGGTGGATGGGTAAAAGCAGAACCATAACATTTACTGTCAAATTAGGCGGTCAGGAAAACTGAGGAACTTCACCTCCATAAATGACAAAGTAATCTGAGTTTTTCAGCGGGGCAATTTCACACTAAGTGCAAAGTTTTGATGTATGTCAGCACTAGAGAAGCATGATGATATCGGCCGGTAATAGCTTGAACGATGAAATATCAGGCTAAAAGTTTACAATTTTGTTTGAAAATGTTATATAACAATAAATACAGGTGCACATTTACTAATCATTGTATTTTATGGCTGCTCATGCCAGTGGGCCATCATGATAAGAATAGGCATAATAATGTGTATGTTAATCCTGCGACAAGGGAAACTTGATGTGCGCTGAGATTAGGTGGAAAAAATATGTGCATACTTTGGCGTCAGCGATCAGCCAAGAGGAGTTGGAAAATTCAACATTGTGCATCCCTTGTAAGTACATTCATGTATATATGTGGTGTTGCAGAGCAGAGCTGTTGGTGACCTACCAGAAACTGTATTTATTGACATAGCAGCTACTTATGTGATGCATACAAACAAGAACTAATTGTACTATCAAAGAACTGTATGAGTTCTGGAGTTCTAACAACATTTATTTGTTGTGGCGCCAACTCTGTGATAGGGCCATGTGAAAAACATATCATTATAAAATGTTTTATTTCAGTTAATAGCATTAATTATTGATGATTTTTGATGACCTTGTTTTCATAAAGGGTTTAACAACTATTTAGTAAGGTATGCAGGTAATAATTTTATTGCTAACACAACAAAGAAATGATTGTTTTTAGACTGCGAAGCCCATCTTGCAAGGGCAACCACTGGTGTCCACTGGCTGCAACCTCCACCACAGGAGGTCTGCAGGACGAACGACAGACCGAGGCAGCAGTGAACGTCTTGAAACACCTGCATGAGGTCACGGAAGCAGCAATGGAGGACAAAGTGGCTCCATTTCCAAGAGAGATGACAAGCTGTTTATGGTCCAGGGAGGGAGCACACTTGGAGGCTAATTATGCAAATACATTTTGCATTTTTGATGGACATTGTATATTTGTTCTTAATGCTACTGATGAACTGCCCTATTGCTGTTACATATTGCCATCATTTTATCGTCCAGGCCTACTCCATGTCCACAAGGAGACAGAAAAAAAGAGCTACCCTTTTCAAAATGTTGGCAGGCAGTGAAAGAAAACTACAACAGATACATGAAGGCAGTGGAGTTCAAAGTGTGCTCTGTGGTTTTGCTGCTTTCCACAACATATCTTATGTGGGAATTTTTGCAGCTGACTAGGTGTGAAAGGTTAATGTGCATAAAGATGACAAATTATGGTGCATAAATTTAGTGTGCAAAGACCGACGGCTGCACAGTTGTAGAATTCCTACGTATTACCTGAAAGTTTGCTCTAACGCAGCACTTTGCTCAAATCCCACAGGAACTATGTGATGCATGCAAGTCTGACTCTCTCGGGACATATTAATTCTCCACTGGTCACAAGACAGAAGAGTCACAGGACCAAAGGTGTGTGGATACAAACAGGATGATGGAAGAGCAGTTCCCAGCAGTTGTAAATAATAAAAAATGAGACCAGTGTCCTGTTCTAATCTTCTACGGTGATTCAAGTTGCCCTTTTCTTTGCGTCCGAATAATACAAAAACATCTCGACATTTCTGACACGACTCACTGCCACAAAAGCAGTCCTTCAGTTTTCATTGTTTTCTTTCATGCATTCACAGAAAAAACTCTGCCCTGCAGCATAATCCTACTGTTGTCCACACCATGGTCAGGCCTAAATTATAGCCATGGGAGATTATGGGCAGCAGCTGCTCCCTGTGGATCCTTTGGCTAGCACTCCACAGCAACGGACTGAAACTTGCGTCCCATTACACCAACGTTTACGATAGTAATGTATAGCTCACTTTTGATTTCCACACCGATGTGGAATTATGTGCAGTTGCATATTGACTGGATGTTACGTTGATGAATGAAACGTGTTTTATCTAATACAAGTAGGAGGGTACAATGACTGGATTTCCTGCAATAAAACCCAATGTGCAGCCTGTTTTGCTTCAAAGCCTGTAGGGAGTGACCATAATTAAATATATTGGTAGAAAACCAAGCTGCCATTGCAACAATATTGCGGTGATGCTGTTGAAATATCATATTTAAAAAGCCACTTTAAATGAAACCTCTTTTAAATTGGAAGAGTATTTATAAAACTGACCTGTTGTTGACCCATAAAAAAAACCCTGGAGGCACAGCACCTTCTTTATTTAGATACAGTCACTTTGAAACACACAATAACCAGTGTGCACCCTTAACCTATAAACTAAAACTGAGCCACTATATTACTGCAAAAATACATTCTACATAATTAACACCTTCACTGTTGTGCAACAATACACAATATCACACATTGTAAATGTGTGTTTCAGATGTTCTCAGGAGCCAAATGATTTAGACAAAAAAGCATCAAGTCGCGTAATGGAATAACACCAGCTAGATGATTAAGCTGACCGGGGCGGGTGTAAATCACATTATGGTTTTCAGGGAATGCGATCCAACAGGCTCGGGAGAGGTCGGCGCAGGAAGTGTTTGCGACAATGTGTGTTGTGAGAGAGAGAAAGCGAGAATTCCTCCAAGCCACATTATTACGTTCAGCAGCTCCGCAGAACATGCAACAGGCAGGAACCCAAAAATGGCTTAGGTGTGTTCTCCTTCCCCCGGGGTGCGGTGAGAGGAGTGCGCCGGCCTGGAGCCAAGATGGTGGTCAGGGTGAAAACCACAAAGTGAAAATAGAGGCGGCCAGGGCCATGACATGTCCGGCGCAGATCAAAGATGGGCAGGGCCTCAGCACACAACAAAGTGCTGCGAGGACAGACGGAGGTCTTTGACAGGCCATCGAGGACTTGTGTAGCGGAGTGTTTATGTGTTGTAGGACACTGAGGTCACTCAGCAGAATGGAGAAATAACAACAAGGCACAACGGGGATAATTATGAAAGGAAGCCAAAAAAAAAAGGTATGTGATGCAACCAAAACCCGCACCAATTAGGTTTGGTGGGGTTGCAGAAGCCCATTCCCATGAGCCTGACGTACTGACAAGATCTGGGGAATGCATGGAATGGCAGCCATTAGACAACGCAGACACCCAGGATGTCGAGGCACGGAGACAAAATGAGAATGCCAGCCAAGATGTAAAAGTGCAGTTGGGGCCTGAGGCCCAGACAGATGGGTGGTTGTTGATGTCTGGGACGATGTCTAAAGAGCGTGGACATGAGAGGCATGTCACAATGAGAGAGCAACACTGACCAGGATAGAAGAGGAAGCAGTTCGCAGACACCGAGCCTAGACTGGCTGAAAATACTCATGACCAAGCGCAGGGTAATTGTGGCTGGTTTTGGTGTGCTTACAACTTCAAGGTTGTGGGTTGGATTCCCACAGACGAGTACCTCAAAAGCATGTATGGTATTAGGTTGACTTGTGGTGTGGACACTGCTTTGATACAAGAGGGGGCTGGAATTCAAGGGCAAATGCAAACAAAGCTTCGATAACAGGATTTTAATAACAAAAAACATTTCACATCTTTATACCTTTATTGGCATAAAGGGGTGTCGTTGTTGTTGTTGTTAACTTCTCCAAACCATATTTCAAACTTCTGGAACTTGTGCTGAATAAGACTATTATATTCATCGGTCAGTTATTTTCATGATTAGACGTTTAGTCTATAAAATGTCAGAAAATGGTGATAAATGTCATCTACAACCCAAAAATATTCAGTTTACTGTCAAAGAAGAGAGAAATCTGAAACTTTGTAGACGCTGGAATCAAGGACACTTTCTGCAAAAATGACTTAAGCTGATCATTAAATCGATCATCGAAATGTTTAGCAATTATTTCAAAAGTCCACAACTAATTGATTAACTGAGTAATTGCTATAATTGTTGGTGCAGGTCTACTGCAGGAAACTTCTAATTAAATAGATCATTTCTCAAGATGACTGACGAAGTTACTTACCAGAGGCTCCTTGTTTTTGACCAGTCTTATGATTTTCACAGAATCCTCGTCGTCATCGATGTCTTCAGGCAGTGGAGGTAGTTCAGGGTCATAACTCTTCTGGGCAACTGTGTCATGGACGGACAGAAGGCTCTAGAAGGAGAAAACAGAAGGATTGATGGGGGGAAAGAAACCATATGCGAGGGTTATCAGTCAAACCACGGAGGCCTAAACTTTACCTCAGCCTCATTAGCTAAATAAAGTATAGCAATGCACGCTGTTAAAAATTTAATCCATCTTTGTTTCTCTGAGCAGGACAGAGAAAATACAGACTGCAGGGAGGATAGATATGAATTGGGGTGTCTCCTTCAAGTGCTGTGTGATGGATTTGAATGCATTCAGGGCCAGAGCTTGTAGCTACATGCGTTAATTGTCATTAGGCCCGTGCTCTCGCTCCATACGTCTCCCTGATTAAAGCCAACCAGCACTCGCCCTGGGCTACTGCACACCGAGGGTTGCGAGCAGAAGGGTGGGAGGGCAACCGTGACCACCGCTTTCGGAACCGACGCTTTCCAGGGCAACACGGCGAACACAGAGGGAAGCGATGTTCTGCGCTGTTCGGCGGCGGCGGGCTCAAAGTAATGAAGTTCTCAGCCGCCTTAGATATTTCACACGTTCACGAGCAGACATAAAAAGAGACGGTGCGCAGACAAGAATGATGCCATTGAGACATTCATTTTTCAAACTATTTAACGACTGTGTGTCCGGACCAAGATGCAGCTGGACGCGTGCTGCTTTTTCCGTGGTTGAGGAGGGGAGAGAAAAGTGAGAAAAACATCTTCCACCCCATGTGCCAGACAAAAGTAGAGAGTAGAGAGAAGAGAGAGAGAGAGAGAGAGAGAGAGAGAGAGAGAGAGAGAGAGGAGAGAGGGATATGGTGAGAAGAGGAGCAGTGTGTTTTATGACATGGGAGCATGCTGCAGTACAGCATTCAAGATGTTGCTAACTGGGAGCAGATGAGAGGAGGAGACACAACCGGAGCTCTGTGTCCAGGATCCACCGAGAGACAAGCTGACCAGCAAACACACACCATCTGTCTGGATCCTGTATTCTTGTGAGGGTTTAGTTCTATCTATTCTCTTAGTGCTGACCGAAAGAAGGATTCCAGCTTGTAACAAATCAAGGTCTTTCTTTTGTATTTCTAGTCATTATTCCTATCCATATTAATAATATATGTGTACACTCATGGGAGACTCCTGTAACTTAGGGATCGAAGGTACCACAAACTCCCATGTTTGACTCTGACTGGGGAGCTGTAAATGTACATCATTCCCCATCTCCCTTTCCTCTCACATCCTTCCTGTCACCTCTTTGCAGTCTGCTCTTTACTGAAGCCATGCATTGTGGCCAAAGTTTACATTCTACCCAGTGTATTGTTGAAATCAAGGAATGTACAGTCCAGTCTCACTCACAAAAAAAAAATGGTAGTATGTTCCACAGCCTACAACCAAAAATTGTCACAAAATAAGCTGTAAAAGTAAAAGATGTTTTTAGTGACCATTTATTAAGCGGGACTCGTCACAGCAGCAACGTAAAACACCTACAACTTTGTGTTTCGTACGTTTTATCTCATACCTAATCTTTGGTGCCTAAACTGAGCAGTTTTGTAGCATCAACAAACAGCAAACAGCCACAGGAAACAGTGGCTGAAAAGCATTTAACTGAGTGTAGTTTAAACAAAATCGTGTTTTTCTCCCCCCCGACTAAATCTAACCAAGAAAATTTTAGTAAAAAGTGAGTGACTGCACTATGAAACATGAGGATCATACAGGACTGGAGCCTTGATGAAAGCGACATTCACCACCTCTTAAGCCGCCGTATACACATTTTGCTGCTCCTTCTCATACGAATTGATATTCGCGAGTCATGTGACCTGGACGCAGCCACTATTACAATTTCACAGCTTTTGTTGTGAAACTAACACTTTTTGTGTTGCGGACCAACGCAGCTATTACACATTTTGGTGCGGGACTACAAGTCCACTGGGACAACAATTATGATCAGTCAGATGACAATACAGACGTTAAATAAAGCCCCAGGTTGGTTACACTTTTTCATACAAGAAGAAAATAAAACAGAATCTTTTTTCTTGCTGTCCGTTCTAAATATCTGTGTCTAAATTAACCGCTTTCAATAATCTGAATAAACTGTTGGCTAGTAAACAAACAGTTTGATCATCTGACTGCTTGTGTTTCTCATCCCATAAAACTTGGGGACAACATCATTTAACCAAAAGTAACCGAAAAAGTAATCTGTAATATATACATATGTATATTTTTTAAATGTTGTTTAGCGTACTAAACCTAAAGCCCGATTTCAACTTCTAACTTAATGTGATTTCATACCAACAATAAATCTAACTCGAAAATCATTGGAGGAGTTCAGACCAAAAACAAGTTTTAAAAAAAGTACTTAAATTCCCACAAGCACACACATTTAATACCATATTTTTCTCTTGAAAAACTCTTGTATCTCTTTATCATCCAGTCCAAACTTCTTTCAAATGCCTGTAATCCTCTCTCATCTTCTTACTTGCTCTTCTTCAGTTTTATCTTTCCTTTTTTCCTTAAAATATTCCCAGCATCAGGTTGTTCGTTTCTCAGAACAGGGCTAACAACGTGTTCCTGGCTTTCATCTGCTCCGTACATAAACACACATTCTGTATTGTATTGTATGACCGGGGATGCTGTCATTATGGTATTGAAATATTCTCTTGGAACACTAGAAACCAAAACTGTTTGCAGATGAGGACAATAAAAGCGTTCTGGATGGGAACTGGATTCCAAACCTGTGCTTGATATCATATGTAAATTATGTTGGTATCACCACATCAAGGCATGGATGGAGAGTTTGCAGTTGCATTGTGATGAAATCAGTAATGGTACATACACAGAGGTGGATGTAAACATATGTGACTTTATAACAGCTATAGCCTATGAATGGAAACAACACTCTATCCAGGGGTGAGAAAATATCACAGGGCGTATTTACAGAAGAAAGCATCTGACATTCTGGCCATCGTCTCGTTTTTGGTTTTCTTTATCGTCTTTGTACCTGTTTTTTTTCCCACACAGAGCACAAGAAAACCAATTTAACTTGGTGCTGTATCAAATTCAGCGTTTTTCCAAAAACATCCTTTGGTGAAAGCCAGCAAATCTGGAGAAAATTTTTCTTTAGCTTGAGGTTGGATACATGTGGTGTGGTGGCTCTCTTTATGGTGTTTGACTGTCAGTCACAGCACCTGATCTCGGTCACAAAAACACGGGGGTCAGCCAGGTGTCTATCAGCGTCTCAGCAGGGTGATACGACCATGCAGGGCCGCTGGCCGAAAAGTAGAAGTACAGCGCTTTGTTGACGATGGCAGCATTAAAGCCTAAAATTAATCAACGACCATTTTGACAGTTGTTGAAGCACTTTCTGAGGATGTTTTTCACATCACATACATTCCATTTAAAAGTCGCTGATTTGATTTCAACTGTCATAAATAAATCCAGCTCAACTCAACTGTTCAAGAAAAAAAAAACATTTGCTTGTCAAATGTGAGGATTTGTTGCTTCCACTGAAGTTTTTATAGATTACCACAGAGGAACAAGTTGATTTAGATCAAAGTAAACTTCATAGTTTTAGTGGTAAAACTAACAAAGTTAAGATAACTTTAGAAGAAAAAAAAAAACATCTGCTTTGCTCTGTTTCATCTCAGCATCTCCCCCCTAACCTGCCAGTTTCCTCTGAACTCCATCCATCAGGCCTAACATCCTAACCTGTGGGCGTCCTCTCATCGATGGCACTTCCTTGAATCTGGCATTGCTCCCCTCCTGCCACATCCTCCCCCACGGCCGTGCCTAACAACCCGTAACAGAGCCACAGCTAATTCCTTGTAAAAACTTTTGAGGAAGTAGCAATAACAGCTGTATGCTAATAGATAGCACATGGTACATGCCCTGGCTGGTGACCGCTGACATGGAGTACGACTACACAGGTACAACTGTTACACACACACACACACACACATACATATACGCACACACAGGTCTGTGTATGGAAGCTTTCTTCCTGGGTTGATATGAGTCAGTGGGTCTTGTTATGCCTCAGTGTCGGTGGATTAGCCGCCTAATCAAATCTAGAGTTATACCCTTGTAAAGACCCTGCAGCTGAAGCCTGAAGAGGAAAGGAGAAAGGAGGGACAGAAAGCGAGATGAAGGGAAGCAAAACCATCCTTGTTTTCCAGGCATCCAGTTCTTTCTCGGTTCGTGTGTTTGTGTTCGTTAGGCATAATAGGGATCCTAGAAAAACAGATCACTGAGCTTGACTAAATAAACCTGCCCGTACATTCCTGGCATTGGCCTCTCATTAAAGCCCCCGGCCCTGTCGCCGGCCCGCTCCGTTTTCAACGGGCGGCGCTGGATTGGTGCGAGGTAACCGTTTTCCCCAGGCAGGAGGGACCCCGCCGCGAGCGTTCTGCCTCGGAGGCGCTGCTGTAGGCCAGCTGGGATACAACTTTTCACGCCCACCTTCTCTGAGCCTTGAACCCTAGCACGCACCGCCCCGAGTCAAACACATTCTGCAAGCGTGCATACACAAACCTGCGCGCCGGTGGAAACAGCCGGCCATCATAATTGGCACTTTCATCACTGTCAATATTAGTCTTGCTGAGGGGGGCTAATATGGGTGAAAGTTGTTTTTTCATGTGCAAATCGTAAAAGAGAAAGTTTAAGGTAGAGAGGGAAAGAGAAAGGAAGAGAAAGAGAGAGGGGAGTTTTAAAGAGCCTGATTTATATCCCCACCCTAGGAATGGATCATTTCAGCCATAATTAAGAGTGATACAGTTACTATCGCACAGAGACGCCATTCAAAGGCAGCAGCCATCTGCTTGTGTTTTACACCCCCAGCCCTGTGATTTACACTGGGGCTGGCTGGTACGGTATCAAGTGCCCTGGAGGACAGATGGAGACAGAAAGAGACAGAAAGTGAGCAAAAACTTTTAATACTCCCATTTTTGAAGCCCACATGCTGCTTACGGTTTGAGACGCGATGTCAAGAAAATGCCTCCGTACCTCAGTATGTTACAGTCGAAGCTCCCTGTCCAAAACCAAGATGCCAGAACTAATCTATTGTTGACTGAATGTTCCAGGAGAAGCCAGTGTTTAGCTGGGCGGTTTACAGCCCAGGCGCTCGAAAACATTGTGCTGGAGTTGAACCAGCACACAAGAGTAGAGGTTGTGAAGTGGACGGGTAGCAAACCCATGGACACAGATGTCAATCACGCAACTTGACAAGAACGGCCGTGACACGTTCCCTAAAAACTTATATGCGTCATTACTGTTTTAAAGGACGTCATTACAAGAAAACAGCGTCAGTGAAGATATACTGGAAGAAAACCCATACATATGATGGCTTTTTCTTTAAAAGGATGAGAATTCCAAAAAAAATGTAGTCGTGGAGAGTTCAGCTTTATGCTGTTTGGATCGTATTCTTAAAGGTGCCCCTGAGTCCTACATCATATAGCAATGCCTCAGTAAGCAGGTTCCAGTACTGTTTGGCTGTGTTCTCGTATTTTTTATTTTTTTTTTTGTGGCATCTTGCAGCCATGAAATTTCTGAAAATGGTTTGGTTGTAATCCTAGTTTCAGTGGATAAAATGCCATTGCACTGCAGGTTGTCTCGCTTGGCTTGTGCTGCTGTGCTGTCTGCCAAGGTGCACCGGCCGGCAGTAGAGGAAGCAGTAGCCGAATATTTTCCATTGTTTGGTGTGGAATTGTTTGGCTGACCTCGTTCTGCACTGGAGCTGAGGTCGGCTCAGCTCCGTTAGGAGGCGGTGGGAGAATAGAGCGAGAGCGGTGAAGAGAGAAAGCAAATAGAGTGAAAACAAGTAAATATTGATGAGGCTCTTTCTGAGCAGACAAAGCTGAAGTTGGAGATAGGATTTGCCACTGCAGAGGTGGAACTGTTTTCTCTCGAAAAAAGGAGCCAAATTTGCCTCCTTTTAAAGCCAAAAGTCATGACACGGTTTCGGAATATGTAATTATCGGATCAAAACCACCAATTTATGTTAATGGTTGGGATTTCATTTGGTAAGTGAATGAAATCTGATCTAATTTGGCTTTAAAACAAATCAAAGCTAGGCTAAAAAAGCAGCGGTCTACTGCCCTCTCTGGCAGGGTGACCAGATCAAATCAAATGTGGGGCAAAGAGTACGTTTGTGCGGCACAATGTAGGACACCAATGCTGAGAGGTTGTCTTTCTGATTTAAAAAATGACCAATTTACTGGTGATTACTTTAGCATGTGACGGACTGATATAATATATTCTATTTTAATGCAACTCCCTCAACTCCCACACTAAGTAAACACAGTAAGCATAAAAGACAGCCACAGTTTGAGCGCTTACGGTACGGGCTTAGGTAACGGTCCCTGTTTAAAATACAGGGCTGAATCTCTGAATCTGACTAAACTGTGTACAATAAAATAGAACAGACAGTTTGTAGACATGGAATTCAAGGTATGGCATCTGTTCTTTCAAGTTTACGGAAAATAAAACTGAGGGTGAGCCCAGTATATCCAAAAATGAAAAGTCGTATATTTTCTGACCTTTGTGATTCATTCAAGTGTTCATATACGGAAAGAAAACATCTAAACATGAAGCTTTGACACACAGAGATGAGGTTTAATCAATGTCTGAAGAGGAACAGAATTTCACTCGGTGGTTTTCCTGCTACGATACTTGCTGTAGCTGCATTTCATTTTCTTTGTAGTAGTTTAAATCTATTTTTTCCGTGATCAACACAGCCAGTTACTTTGTGGTAACAATTTTCCCAGTTGGGCGTAGCACAGCCAACGAGAAATGGTAACCGGTTAACCTACACTTGTCCCACAAGTGCACCGTGTGACTGAAATGAAACAGCCTCACCATGACAGCCGTCCCTGCTTTCTTTACAGGCGCTGGATAGAAGCCAGCTTTTAGAGAAGTGTCCGTCCTGCAGTGTGTATGAAAACCTGAGCAAATCAAAAAGCAGGACGTCTCTCTCACATCATGTTGATATTAAAGAAGAAATAAAAATCATGTCCTTCACCCTTCTCCCTGTGACTGAAAGACTGAAAGCAGCCACATACGGTGACGTCACAGTGTACCGACACCTTTACATGACAGCAGCCGGATTAGACCACTGGAGGCCACCAGGTTTTTAGCTGCTCTTTAATCTCTGTAAAGCTAAATTCAAAAGCAAATGGCTTTGTTAACTACTATCTTATGGGGGAATTACTGTAGCCAAACTATTTGTCCAATGCATATGGAGAGTTGTCTGTCTGCATCTCAATCCGTTCGTCCGACGTGAGAGTCCTCAATGTGTAAAAAAAGTTGTCAATGCGAAACAGTTCTGCTACAATAATGACATCACAATATACCATCTGCACTGAACACAAAAAAGATAAATACTAAAGCCATGTTCAGACCTGCCTTTTGTCTAATTCTTTCTCCGGTGTAATAATTGGCTCTAACTCTTCAAAAACATGGATTTATAACTCAAACCGAACTTCCTGGATTATGCCTGACGGATTCATTTTACCTGAAAGCATACATCTCCACTTACACAGGCTTTTGACACTGTTTGAATTAATGCTTTAAGTCTGAATGCTCACTAATTTAAGTTGTGTTGGAGTGAAGGCTCTGAGGCCAGAAAAGTTGCAGGGGCCACTGCATTTGTTGGGTGAAAGGGAAAAAAGTGAAGACACCCCAATAAGTCAAAGAAATCTGATTAGTTTAATTAGATCAAAGCCCAAATTTAATATGATTGTCACCCAGATAGATCTAAAAATATCGAAAATCCATTAGTGACGTAAGCTCAGAGAGGACGGAAGGATTCTTGACCCGAAAATGAAGTAAACTATGAATTCATGCTACAGAGTCTATATCTGCCACTACAGCCACACAGGTTCTTTCTGTCAGGATCTGCATGTGTGTGGACCTGGCACTCAGTCCCATCTCCTGCCTTCACCTCTCCTCACCTCATCAGTCGAAGCTGCACGGCTTCCTGATCGATGGCTTTCACAAGCTCTGTGTTTTGATGGATTGACCTTTGCCACGCCAAATACCTTTGCTGTAAGCGTAATTAAAATAATAAACGCAGGATTTCTGACACAGGCATGCTTCATGGCGAGCGCGGCGATCGTTTGCCGGCGCATTTCACTTCGGGGTTGACAAAGACGAAGGAGATCACAATGTCCCCGTGTAGCAAAGTAGGAGAGCAAAGATGTGATAGATTCCAGCTATTTGTCTTCAGGATAACGGCTGTGTGTCAGCGTCGAGTGTGTATCCACCGTGCGTCTCGATTGCTAATGAAGTCAGTCGTACTTGACCCCATTTTCGCACGCTTTGCAACAGTATGCGTGTCTGCACATCCACTCTGTTTTGATTCCTTTTAACAGATTAATTCTGCAGTGGCAGAATTTAAGAAATGAATCATCATCACTTGAACAGACGTTCAAAAATCCACTTCTTAGCCCCCATCCTTCACATCCCCTTCTGTTTGACACTGAGAAGTATTGAATATTTGTATGTACTCTGAGTGTGTGTTGCGTATTGTGGTGAGGGAGAACTTCATAGTGAGCTGTTGTTTCTGGCAGAGCCCAAATAAGCATGACGACAGCGCACTAAAAAAAGGAGCCCGTCCAACTCTCCTTCAATTCCGCCATCGTGAAGGCAGCTCTGTCTGGCTGAGACACCTGGAGGGCCTGATGGATGGCCAGAGTTATGCATTAGAAAATAAAAATGTGTAAATTTATTTTGTAGCTGTCTGCGTCTGGCTAACGAGGCCCGTGGCTGCAGCCAAGAAGACGAGAACAGGCCTGGATCTAACAGGCAGATTATTTTGTGTACAGCATGATAATCACAAACACCAGCGCTGGTGTTACACAAACAGCAGATCCTGCTCCAGAGAGGCCCTGATAGTTTGCTGCTTTTTGGAAACGATACTATGGCCCCGCATGAAGGGGATACGTGATTGTAGTTTGCTAAAATTTACTGAAAATAAAATAAATGAAAAACAGGAGCCAGACTCACCTTCACGTGGGTTTTTTCCAGTAGTGTAAGAAGCTCTTTGATTTCTCCATTGGCTGATTTCCCTTCCAGCTCCTCAGACAGCTAGAAAGCAAAGAACACAGAATTCTCACACAAATGCATTCACAACACAATACATCAGGAAAGGCCATTACACATGCTGACAGGAAGTTAATTCTCTATCTAACTAATGCCCCGATAACGTTCAGTCAGTCCTGCTGGATTTATACTTAAGGCAAGAGTTCAACAGCAGTTTTGACGTGAATACCACCGGAGAGGGTTTGATTTATAATAAATCATAGCTCGGCATCAGAAGGTCTGTCTCATAACAGAGTCTTTGCCATGCAACTGCCATGTTTACAGTCTTCCATTCCCTGTGATAGAAAGCAAGAGCGATGCCAAGCAGAAGACCTGTACCACATGTGTTTCACTGAAAAACAGAAGACAAGTTAACCGTTCTTCATATGTTTCATGCGGCATTCAACAACCACTTGGAAAAGAAAACACAAAAGATAAAAACAATAAAAATTAATCTTGTTTCCATTAACTGCTTTGGCGCACATGAACTACGCTCAGTCGCGTTGTTAGAATTTATTCATAAAAGATGTTCCCATCTCCCATCACGCACATTGGCCCTTTTTAGAGATATCAAAAACCACATCAAGTGAGTTTAAAGCCTGTTTTAAGGACTTCACGTGGTAAGAGAGTGTGTAACATCAGACTATTCCCTAAAAAGCTTGTGTAGAAAGCACACTGAAGGATACTGCCTGTTGTTGGACATTCAGGTGGCCTCTAGGAACTCACAGGAAAGGTGATATTGTGCTAAATTAGGTATATCTTAGCGGGAGGTAAGGTCTCGGTCTTGGGGCCTATAACTCCTACTTGTTGCCACCTTTCTTGTGATTAAATTTACTATTCTGCAGGGTCATTTTTCAATGAGAATCTCAGGAACTAAAGAAAACAGTCCACTCCACTTGGAAACAATGGGAGCTGTGAGAGTATCTCTGAGCAGTGGGACTGAGCTGGACTACATTCATGATGAATGTCTGGTAGCTCTGAGACGAGTGACTCTGCTTCTAAAGCCCAGGCCACGCTCCTCTGTCTCCGCTCTGATTTATGGATGATCCTCCTGGATGCAGTGCGAGCGTGGAGAGGAGCAGCGAGCTGTCCCACACAAAGACCTGCCTGTACTGAGCTGGGAGATCAGGAGCTTATGTCTACTGCACAGCGGGCCACTGGAAGTCACAGAAATCCATGTGTCCTTAAATAGTTCTGCTGCTGCGCTTTGCCTTCGAATAGCAAATTCAAATAGCATCATCTGAAGAATAATGAACACACAGCAGAAATGGTGAGTCAGAAAGTTAATCATCAATTACTCTAATAACCAGTTATAAGAGTTTTTCAAGTTCCAAGCACAAGTTTCAAATTGCCAGACATTCATCACTGTAAACTGAATATCTGTGTTTTTTGGACTGTTGCAATTGGACTTTAATAATTTGTTTCAGCTCTAATAAAATGAGAACCTGAAAAGGCTCTGACTAAAAGTTTAATCATAAATAATGTCAAAACTGACACAATCCAATGGGAAAAAAATGATTTTATTTTTTTGGACCAACATGAACAGTTTCCCTTGATCACAAGTTGAAGGCCCAAAATCAGAGCAGATGTCAATGACGACTGAAAACTAACAGTTCCTCTCTGGTCATTGTTTAAACCCTCAAAACTAATCTCTGTATATCAAAGCTACTTTTTTCACACACTTTGAACACTGCGGCTTAAACAATGATGCGGCTAATTTATGGATTTTTACGATTTTGACAAACTTGCCTCAAGACGAAAGTGACATTGAGAGCCACAACGAAAGAGACACTGAGGAAGTGTGTAATGAAGGAATTCTGATGCTGTTCAATTCCGACACTGAAGAAGACGACTTTAGTGGTTTTAGTGCAGGAGGAAGATTAAGATAGCGATCAATGACTTTTCCTGGTAGGCGACTGTATTTTTTTAACCAGCCGTGTTACAGGCACTGTTCGGAAGCAAAACATTTACAGTACATATTTGTGAATGTTACCGGTACGTATTTTATTAAAAGTTTAAAAAATCTTTCTGTGCAACATCTTTCTGTGTAAATATCTCATGTTACAACGTGGACACTTGCGGCTTATAGACAAAAGCGGCCTATATATGTACAAAACTTGTTCTGTTTTTAAAGTTAGTGGGTGCGGCTGATATTCAGGTGCGCTCAATTGTCCAGTAAATGTTTACCAAATTTTTCAAAATGAAAAACTCCCATCCCATATTAAACTTGTTTAGATATAATTCTACACTACTTCGCCTTTAGAATGTGTAGAAAGTAGATTGAAAAGCTTGCACAAACTAGTTATGGATAAAATAAACGTTAAAAAAACAACACATTTTTAAGAATAAATATAAATAGAACAGCACAGCACAGAAAAACGCTGCATGCTGATTGAACGCTTGTGTGTTTAAAGTCTTAACATGAAGCAGAGAAGCGTGAAGAGACACATGCATCATTCAGGTGTCTGTGTTGTCATCACATAACAGATAAGCTGAACAGGGAAATCACCACAAAGTGTACAACGTGTACTGCCTAATGTGCGACGATGACAGGGTTTGGAAAAACCTAAAGTTTGTTTGACTAACGACCCCTGTGGAGCGGGAATAAGGCAACAGAGGTGAGGCAGAGGTAAAGGCAGGGGGCCGAGGGTTAGGCCGGGGTTAGGGAGGATGCTATGTCACTTTATCCCAAGACAGGAACATGTGCGTTTGGCCGAGGGGGGTGTGGGGGTCTTTTCATTATTTCCATTAGTTTTGAACCCCCCAAGGAAACAAGACCTTACTAATGAAAAGCAACAGTGGTCACAGGTTACGCTGGCTGAACCTCATTCTACTCTGCTTTATTTCACTTTACAAAACAGAAGAAAGAAAATGATGAATCTGAGATGAATAAGGGGAGAAAAGGTGCGAAAAAAGGGCGATTTAAGAAAAGAGAATAAACAGCCGCACAACGCTGGATCAAAGGGGAGAAGAAAAGAGAAGAAAAACAGACAAAGTGAGAGAATAACTGAGAAGGACAGACAGATAGAGGTGGAGGGGAATCGAGGTGAACGTCTTTAGTGAGGCAACACCTCCTGCTCTGATACAGAACCATCCGTCATCTCATCGCCACACAGTTTCCAGTGAGAGAGACAGGAGCAGACAGAGAGCTGTACGGTTTCAGTCCCCAGTATTGTTCTATTGGAGCTGCTTGTCCCATTACTCAGCACGCAGGACAGATGGGACATGTTTGACAACACATTCCGCTGTCTACCTTCATGCTTCCCTGCTGAAATCACATTTTCCATCCTCAGACCTTCACAGAGAGCAAGGGCAAGAAGTGATGCTGTCTCCTCTGAGACCGTGTGTATTTCATTTGTTAAATGTCATGGCAGGCGCTGCAGTGTTTAGATAAGTTTGATCCCAGCATGTCAGCTTACAGCTCTCCCTTGACCCTGAACGGCTCAGGGCTCACTACTGTGATAGATGGCTGCCAATACATGAAGCTAACCTTACTTTTAAATGGCTTTTATTAAAATGTATAAAAACGTGCTAAGCTTTTCGTTTAAAACCCTGATCTCTGCCTGGCAGCATAATGCACTTCGTATGATGAATAAACTGCACTTTGGCCTGACTTACTGTGTAACTGATCAATAATACACTGGTTTACTGCAGTAATCATTTAAGGGGAATGACTTCTAAGGCTGCATTTAGATTAGATTTTACACAGTCATGCACAGAGATGTTTTCCCATGATTATATTTTATAGGTTTCAATAAACATTTTAAAGTCTCACGCTCTAAATACTGGCTTTCACACTCTTAGAAAAAAAAATGCAAAGGAAATAGTGAAGAAGTGAATTTACCTCATGCAAATAATCAAATTTAAAGAGTCTGAAAATGAAATAAATAGTTTCTAATAGTCAGCTTAAGTATATCACTAATGTGGTCGTTCTTAAAATGCATAAAGTACACCACTGGGACCAAATACAATTGCATTAAGCACTGTGCTTTGAACAGCTTACAAGCTGGTCCATTTATATTGTGAATCTTTTCAAACATAATCACAAGAAATATGTGTAAATATATGTATATTATATATGATGAACGAATCTCTTAACAAATAGGACGTATGAGAGAAGAGGGTGAAAATGGTGTGTACTGAGTGAATATGGTGTTCATGTTCTGTTATGAATGTCTCCTGAACAGTTTATCTCACAAATAGATGATGATGCAACTAATAATTATATTTTAGTAGAGATTATTCCACTAGTTATTTAGCATTTAGTCTATAAAATGTCAGAAAGAAAATGCTAAAAAAAAGAAAAGCCCCCCACAATATAAAACTATTAAAAAAAATACAGATATTTGGATATGACACACTTGATCTTCTGCTTTACATTTGCTAACTAAAAGACAGCTTTGCAGCGTTTTAATGTCTGTGTTGCTTGGCTATTACCCGAGACATGTGCCCAATTAAATAGTACTGGACATGACTTGAGGTCACAGAGTGGCGACTACAGAGAGACTGACTGCATCAGAGCCAAAGCAGTGCCGTTAGAAATGTATTTATTTGATTGGGAATCTGTTTTTAAAACTAACAACACCAATATTCAAATAAATGCTAAATATCTGATGTAAAACTGACATAAAGAGTCACTTGACACTGAGGAAACCCTTTCTCTCTCTCTCTCTCTCTGTCTGTTTCCTTCCCATTAGATGTTGAAGGTCTGGATTGAAGACCAGTGCTCTCTGATGGCACCCAGTGGTCTTTCCAGGTAACAGCAGGGTGGGTGTATAGATGCTGGGAAGCTGGCCAGAGGAGGGAAAGCTTCCTTTAACGATAGAAGGCCACCAGGACATACAGTCACAGTTCAAGCGATGGACACTGATCTGGAACAAGGGCTGGCATTCAGCTTACTGGTAATGTGGTTGTGTCTGGCTTTGGACAGGACTGACAGTCTGACTGGATCAACGGATTGGAACCTACATGGGGCTGGGTCATGTGTGAGGCTGATTTGCCCTTTTTGATTAATGTAATGTGGTATTTTACATTCCACAATGAAGTGCTTCTATTTCAGGTTTTTCATAAGAGCTGCAGAGAGACTGTGTGCTGTAAGGATCATGTCTGTACCTTCATGAAAGAGTGTGTGCAGTCACCAACTGACATGTCTTCATATGTATGTAATACAGCTCCTTTTCCCAGAGCCAAGTATCGATCGTGTTTCAGGCGGCAGCGGCGGCGCTCGTGTGCTTAAGCAGTGGCGGTCACCTGCTGTGCGCTCTAGACAGTGCACCCGGGGCCAGACGGGGGTTGAAGTGTCATTTTATGTTAACCAATAAATTAGGCCTCCATTACCCGAAACTCAAGCCTGAAATGAATTTCATCTAACTGTAGATCTTTCTGCTTGCACTTTAGTCCTCAGCCACCACTTCAATAGCGTTCATTTGGAGCGGTGACACGGGTGAAAAACAATCTGCTTTAAAAATACACTGCTACGCTCCGGGTTTGGAGTGTTTCTTTTTTTTGACTAGTCAAGGAGGGCAGACTCGGGATTGTGGTGTGCTGCGAGATGCTTTGATACACCATCTCTGGGCTTTATCCCGATACCTGATAATCCCAGGGAGACGCTTTGCGGGACATTTACCAGGAAGCATAAATTTGAAAGTCTGTAATTTGACAAACAGAATGAGAAAGAAAATCTGTAAGGAGGGAGAGAAGATGGAGGCTGATAGTTGGGGGTCTTTTGAACAGTTTATGGACTCTTGCCACAACCTGGGAAGGCCGAGCCAAGAGTGAGGAAAGAGAAACAGAAGTCAACCTTCACACACTGTTGGATTCTTGAATCCGGTGGAACTCTTGTTCTGGTGTTATCTGGTTAGCGGTGTCCTTTGCCAGTACTAACAACAGGGTAGAACAAACACTCAGGAGGAAATAAAACTATAAAATGTATTTTTGAGATTCTGACAGATTCAGGTTTGACCGTCCTGGTTTGGTTAAGGGTCTGGTTTGGGACTTGTGTCGTCTGTACTGGTGTCTGTGAACTCTCCAGACTGGAACTTTCTGAGTCCTCCAATGACACTTGTGGCCCGTAAGGTCAGGAAAACCACTTTGGACCACAAGATGGCCTTTCTTTCGTGACAGACTCAAGACACTCTGGACTCTGTCCTCCTCGGTCTTTACCCCGACCGACTGTAAAGGCTTCAGCCCCTCTTTCTCTCGTCTTTCCCTTGACTCAGTACTAATTAGGATGATGTATGGCTGTGGGCTCTTTAGAAGGGGTGGAATAGACGGAGGCACTTTGATTACAATAAACAGAGCTGGGGATTTCAAACAAAACCACACACCAGTAAAAGTGCTTTTCCTCCTCTCCGCTCACCATGCCAGGCTGGGTCTTGGGTTTACACAGGTGTGTGTGTGTGTGCACATGTGGATGTGAGCGGGGCACTTGCAAGCTTTTGTGCACATGTGGCTTTCAATAAATACTGCAGATGAACAATACGGCAACAAATGTCACGACACTGGACATGTAGTTAATAAATCAAACTGAATATCTTTTACAGCTTCACCAGAGCAAGGCCAGTGGAAGAAAACGCTCATGACTGGTGCTGTTGGTAATGTTATTGTTCGTGTAATGGCAGAAGTGAGTCTTATTAACAGGTTTACTAATGAAGCGAATCTGCACGCAGTAAGCGATGCTGCAATGGCGCTGCTGCTCTCTGAAGTTGTTTATTATTCAACGTGGTCTCTCCTCCCCTGACTTCTGTGTATATGTCATCTGCAGTTTGTCTGCTAAAATGATCTGTCACAGCGTGCCCATCCATCTTCGGCTTTCTCCTGATTGAGTCTTTCTATCCGGTTTCTGCTGGAGGAAAATGATCAGTTTGGCTTCGCAGAGCTGGATTTCCGATTTCGCGGTGGTTAGCTAGACGTTTGGGCAGAAAGCAGGCGGCAGGGTAGGCGGCGAGTGCAGAGCGGGGACAGTGTAATGTTATTGTAACAGTGACCGATTGTAGAAAACCAAAGTGGGAAAGGAAGCGAGCTCTCCAGGGTAGGAAGTATGTATGACTGCGTGTATATGTGTTATGGACACTCAAGAGGAACTTGTGATCTGAAACTTCTGCGTTCAGTCATCACAACGCCACGCTACTGTACTGCAAGACAAACAGCCAACCAGCTTACACTTCCTCTCTCTGGATTTGGGAACAAGGACATTATGTGTGCTTGGGTTTCAAACACAAATAGTATGACAAGGCGAGCAAGAAAGAAAAGTTAGAATGTGTGCGTGGTCGGGTGACAAATTAAAGGAAAACCTGAACAAACTGTGCGAGCATATGTTGTTGGTGTTGCAATGTCTTTCATATAGAATACAGTGAGCATGAAAGTCATCTGAATTATCTACAGTCACATCTCAAATCAGCAAACACCAACATAATGTTGTTAACCGTTAAAGCCACAGAGATACGTACAGCTGATAGACACTTCGTCAACAGTAAGAAGGCTGTTCATTCAAATGTATTAGATATGAACTGTATTAAAAGTATAGAAGGAAAAACACAAACTTCAGCTGCATGACCAAACGCCAGGCATGTTCCCTCCTATACTCCTATACTCAAACAGTCCACCATATTCCTTCATAACGGAGTCCCTGTACCCTACATCGCTCCGTTTGTGGTTTCCTTGCAGGTCTTCCAAGATGTGCTAATCCGTGACCACCTGGACCTCTTGTTGCCTTTGTCGTCGGACCTCCTCTGGCTTCCAGTGTCAGACTGGCTTTCTTTTTATTTTTTCTGGCCTTTTGGCCTTTATTAGTGAGAGCGAGACAGGAGAAGAGTGGGGGGAGGACCTGCGGGACACCCATGACCGCTGTGTCGGGAACTATAGCCCCTGTTTATGGGTCGCCCGCTCAGCTAGGTGAGCTATAGGGGCACCCCAGACTGGCTTTCTGATTTAAAAGCCTCCACTAAAACGACACACTCCCGATGACTTGCTCTGACGGCTGATGAACTTAACATTGAGGTTTGTGCGAAGGCCGGCGCATACTCCATGTCCAGTGATACCTGGTCCAGACCAAGCACTTGGAACCCTAACATAAGTGCAGTGTAGTTGCAGTTCGTGCACCTTCCAAGCCTTACTTCTTTCTTGTTTCTTTTGTGTATGAAGGTTAAATGTGAGTAGATTTATGTATTTGCACGTGTTTTCTTTGTTGTGGAGACATTATACTTATAACCTGTCCACCTTGCCTAATACGTTTAGTTTTCCATTTGTCACCAATCTTTACTGAAAAAACAATGCTTACTTCACGGGCCAGAGATGCAGCGCTGTCCAGAACAGGGATGGGTTTGCTTTCTTCATAGTGCTGCAGCCGTTCATGGATCTGAAAGAGAGATTGTGTTCATCAGTCAGAGTGTGTGTGAGAGAGAGAGAGAGAGAGAGAGAGGGTCAACACTGGGCTACAGAGGCCACGGCAAAGCCTGTCTGAGTAAACACACACACGTGTGAGCAAAAAGTGCACACAAGTAGCCATGTGCACCGACAAGCATGTATGAAACATGTACAGCCTCCATCCGCACCATCTTACACACACACACGCACACGCACACAAGATTAAAACAAGAAGCAACTGCACGTTCACACAGCAAACGCACACACACACGGATCTTTCACTCCCTCGACTGAACACAACAGAGTGCTTCTAAGTATTTCAGTTAGCATAGCCACTGTGCAAACAATCCAGTTTTCCACCATGCATTTGATATGCCCTAGTGGCCTGGTGAGGATTCCAAATCATTTCAACAGTCTGGTTAAATTGGCTAAACATTTCCTTATCAGCCTCAACACTGCAACTGCACAATGTTGAGAGACAAAGTTATATCTCTGGAGGGTTACTAAAATGGAAAGTAAGCCTTACTCGTGTGTTAACGTTTACTCATTTACACACACAAAAACACTTCATCACTCAAAAACTGATACGTGAAGCAGAGATGGAATAATTCATACACACAAGCACACGCTAGCGCCCACGCACATGTCATCAAACACACAGTTGTGCATTGTGCTCCTGCCTACGCACACACAGACACACAAAAAAACACTACAGCTATCCCATTTGTGATTTAAGAGCAGCTGTGCAGGAATGCGTTGACAGCCTACAGGCTGCTGTCAGGTCCCATCAAAGAACAGACAGGGACGACTATCCTCCCAGCAGCCACTCCTGAGTCTCTCCTCAGCCCAGCATGGTGAAGGGGAGCTGGGCCATGGGTCTGACTGATAGCTGGGCCCTGGGCCTGGAGCCTCCAGCTGGATGTCCTAGAAAGCATTCCAGCACGATGGTGGAACAGAAGGCTCTCTGGCTGGGGAGAGTGACAGAGGAGCCCCTGGGCCAGTTCGGTGTCTGCAAGGCCAAATCCACACATGTGGAAGCATACATACACACACATGTACACACACACAGACTCAGACATGCAGATGGAGCAGTGACAATCTGCGACAGAGAATCACTCAGCAGGACAGAAAGAGACACGAAAAGCAGTTTGTTTGCTGTCACTTTGTGAGCAGCTACAGATGCTGTGTGCAATTAAAACATCTGTTTTAGGATTGTTAGACATGCTTTTTACTCCTCACTACACAAATTATGTTTTTTAGCTAGACAGCATTCTACAGTAGCTGCACTGTGGACACTGTGGAATGCTAGTTGGAGAAAGTTGAATGTTCTGACATGACACCATCATAGGATGGGATTTGTCCCTACTAAGAAATGCTTTTTTCTTTATTTTTGGCCAATTCTGGAGAAATTCAGATTAGTAACAAAGCAGGCAGCATGTGTTGATGAGTTTATTTGAGACTCTTCAAGCTGTCATCTCTTTGGAAATTACCACCACAGAAAACGTCCTGTAATTAAAAACATGATGTAATTCTGAAATGCACTAATGTCAGCATTCCAAAGACACTTTTATGACCTCATCGTGAAAAACCTGCAACGCAACTTTGTGTGAAATGTCAGTGCAGAAGCATGCCCCTCTCTGCCCATCAACATTCCAGTTTAACTGTTGGCCTTAAACAGCTACAGCCATTTCAGCTAGACTTATCCACAAAGTCTCCTGTGATAAATCACGGCCTGTTAGGACTGTGCCTTGGCCAACAGAGCAGCCGTGTTTCAAGGTCAGCTTAGAGGTTCAAATCCCTGTGTAAAGCCGACATTACTCGGCTATAAAACATGGTGCATTAGGCGTGTCGTGAAGGTAATCTGTTGGAGGTTTGAGGGAAGGAGATGGTTGCTCAGCTTAGCTGTAGTACGCAAAAAGCTGTGACTTGCGGGCCCTCAGACAGCTGAGATGTGAAGTTAAACAAATGGTGGCAAAAAGAGGAAGCAATGTAGTGAATCTGCAATGTCCAGGAGTGGTGCAAGAAGCTACAGGAGGGCAGCGATAAGGCTGGTGATAGACATAAAAAAAATAGCTTGGATTGTTCCTAATATAAGTTTAAATACAGCCGAATGTTTAAGTGGTGCTGAGTTGAACTGCTGTCATTATGTTCCATGTTTTATGGCATCAACTTTAGTTCTGCCACTCAAGGGCAATTCCTGGAAATTTTTATGCTCATCTGTTTAATTTCACATTGCCACGTCATATTTGAACTGTTTCTCTGTACTGTTCATGAAGACCCAACAACTCCACCCTGTGCTCCGACTCCTCTGTCTGTTCTTCTACAGTAGAAGCCCGTAAAAGGACAGGCAGGCAGCTCCGGTTACTTCATCTGTCCTGATCATCTTTGTAAGAAAACAGATGAAATAAATGAGAAAGGTTGCCAGTGTCTTCAGCGCTCCAACATACCACAGTCCTAGTGACATCTGCTTAGGTAGTTGTTGCTCCACCACCTCGACTTACTTAGTTACTGTGGAATTTCTCCTCTGCTTGGTGAGCAAACGCGAGATTGAAATGCTTTTATTTACAGTTCAGGACACTTTCCAAGTGCCTGTCCATGACGCAGTAATATATTTTAAAGTCATTACCCAGGTTTTTGCATAGCGCGCTCTCTGTCCCCTTGGTGAGGCAGCAGCGCTGCTGGCAAATGGGAAAAGTAGCCTGGCGGAATTTTTAAAAAAACAAAAAAAACAAAAACAGTGAGAGACAGTGTGTTAGAGCCAAAGAAGGCTTAGCTCAAACCATAGCGCAGTCCAGGACACAGAGCCGAATCAAAACTGGGGTTCTGAAACTTCTCCGATGAGAAATGTAGTGCTACTTCTACGTTAAATAAGGCAGAAGAGCCACGGTCAAAATACTCAAAAATCAGGAAAGCTCCAAGAAGCAGAGGCTGGGAAAAGATTAATGAATGAACACCTTCACTGAGAGCTTCAAAAAAGGAATGCTACAAAGAAGTAGTGTGTCCTGTCTCCACAGAGGCCTCAGACTAAGTTGTGTTTGCTTCCAGAAATACCCTGCAGGCTTAAAATACACATAGAAACATATGCAAAGAAAAGTATGAAGAAAAACACTAACATGGTTAAGAATTGATATGAAAGAATGCCAATTAGGATCGACTGGAAGAAAAACACAACATCCATCTTCATCTTTTGCAGACGAGAACTCCAACCCCTGCACAGGATCACTGTTAGGATTTAGGGTCAAACACCGCAGAGACCTTTCAAAAAACTTTACGTAATAAAATGCAGTATTTCAAACTGTATTCATGTGTTTTTTCATGAGCACATGCAACAGTAAGAAGAACAATGACTGGGTCTAGCCTCGAATGTCTACGTGGAGGCATGGCTGAGGAAAAAAGCATGGCTTACAAACACTAATCAGGAGACACTACAGCAAGTAAAGTCTGGCACAGAAAAGGGAGAGAGCGTGCAAGAAAGCAAAAGCTTGATAGATGGAGAGGTGTGCTGATGGAAGGAGAAAGAGAGGTCTGGAGATCACAGGGCTGGATAGTGTTTCTGTTTCTGAGTCCTGCAAAGAGTCTCGAGGCCTCTGGTTAATGTCCACTGCCCAAAAAACTTCACGTTGGACCGGTTAACGCTGACGATCTCTCTCCTTCTCATCTGTATATCTACCCACCAGAGTGGATCCAGTATCATACGGCCGTTAATCCATCCGGGTCTGATCTCTTGGTCGGATCCAGAACACCTTGTCAAGGCACCGTGGCCTGGTGGACTAGACCAGGTTGGGGAGACGAGAAGTGGAGATAATAGACAGACGTGCGGAGTTGCAACTGGAATTGCTGCGAAATGATATGTTTGCTCAAGAGGCATAAGGAGAAATGTTGAGATTTGCTTTTTCTCCTGTCACAGTAGGTCGGCTTACAGGGTTTTGGCTTTTGCTCTTGTATGATGGCATCAGGTCTTGGACACTGCACCGAGGTTTGTGATGAAAGTACCAGTTTCTGTTCGTCTGTTGAAGGTACAGCTGGCCAGGTCTGCTAAATTAAGTTTATACTCAAGACAGTGTTCACGATGGTCGACCTGATAAAGCATTTAACTGCAAAAATATTTCTTAGGCTCTGATACTGATCAGAATTCTTTAATACTAGGGAACTTATGTGTACTTTTTATAATAAATGTCACTGTAACTATGATAATAATTACAATGCATCAAAAGAATGTTGTACGTGTGAAAACTACCGAACCACTTAATCCACATGCAGTTTTACAGTGTTACGGAGGGAACGATCTGTCAGTGAGCCTTGAGGTGCCACTTCTACAGAAAAGGCTTCCTTCTTAAGTAAACTTTTGTTCCTGACTGTAAAGCTGCAAGTTTTCATGATGGAGCAACCAATTGCGATTGATGTTTTCCCTCAGAGACCTCAGGAAGTTACAGCAGACCTTGCTGCTGGCAGTTTGAACCTGTGTGATGAGTTCACAGTGTATAACAGTATAAATGGGAATCTCCTCTTTGATATTTTCTTCACTATTGCCAAGACTGCTGTTTGGTCTCTGGGTCGAAGCCATAGACCCGATTCTCATCACCCGAAATGATTCTTGACATAAGGGTTTATTCATCCAAAGCCTGGTCATGTAGATTATCTCAGGCTTTGACACGGTGTTGCTTCTACAGGTACCTTCAAGTGGTCACAAAAAAGGCACATAACAGAGGTTCTAATGTTAACCACAAAGCGAGAGTGGCTGCTCACGCTTGCTGCATGACACTGTTGCTTTTGTGTGCAACAACACATCTTGATTGCACTTCGTACATTGTGTTTTTCCACAGAAACAGAGATGAGAAACAACAGGTAAGTCAGCCCTGGATTTGAGAAAATGTGTGTATTCTGCAAGCTACTGTGTCCGAACTTAGATTGACTCAAAATACTCGGTGCAGGTAATTCTTCACAGACACAGGCTGATGCAAAATGCACTTCTGCAGGCTGTCGTACAGGAGA